GGAACAGCCATACAGACAGATACCCAAATAGGGCCAGGAAGGAAATTGTCACACTATGTAAGGATTGACATGACTCTGTCAGCTGCATTGTACAAGAGAGCAAAGTTTATTATTCTTGATCCTCTTTTATAGAAGGTCCAAGAGGCAAAACCCTCATTGGTCATCAAAGCAACACATCACCATCACTGGTCTAGTGGAACACCACCCTTGACTAAACAACACCTGCAGATTGCTGTCCTTTACCAAAGACTGTTTGGATTCTTTCTCGTGCTTTCCCAGGCCAGAGTGAGAAGCTTGTGTGACTTCGTTTCACACAGGCTCTGTTCCCTGCTTGGTTTTTGCATTTGGTATCTACAGGAAAGTCACTGTGTCTTGTATAGACTAAGTTCAAGAAAGCTATTTTGTGGGGAGGATAAACAGCAATTTCTTCAACAGCACATGTAATCTTTTGAGTAGCAGTTCAGCTGTCAGTGATGCAGAGTCTAACTAGGTACAGCAGAGCACCACTACTTTGGATTGATTCTACCGAGAAAAGTGATAAGGTGTAAGAAAATACCTAAGAAACAACTCAAGGACTCAGTAAAAAGTTCTGAAGTGAAAACCTAAAAAAATAATCTATGGAAAGAAAACAAAGGATCAGAAGGCACTAACCCAGTAATATCATGCATGAACCATTCCAAGACAAAAGCTGACCTGTCCTCAAATGAGTAAAGACAAGCTGGGCAGCAAAGATACATCCCATATCTCACTGGGAATACTGGCCATGGTAATACCTACCCTAGCAGTGTGTTAGTCCTGGTTATCTACTGCATGTATCAGACCATAAAACAAATCTGTGCATTCTGAAATTACACAAATACTGCTTGCAAAGTCTCTCCCTACACAGCAAAACATTCCCACACCAAAAGTGATCCTGGCAGGATGGAATCTCATACTCTAAGGAGGAGGACAGGTAGGTTTCTCACTCAGAGAACACATCCAGTGGAGATGGTGTTAAAATATTCCCGTGAAGCTCCTGGTTAAGTGATCTCCAACTCCATGGGACCTCCAACTACCAGGGGCAATCACCAAACTACAACAGGATATGGCCTGTCAGTAAACCTTTCTCTGACAGACTGGTGCTGAGGACACATGGAGCATAAATTTTTCTACTAGATATCCAACAGCCAGCAATTCCCCATCTAGATGCAGTCTCCAATCAGCCAGCCTCTGTTCCATATTCCTAGCAACATAACAGAACTGAAGTTAAGCCTGACTGCACACTGAACTGACCCTGGAGTTAATCCTGGACCCTCTTACAAAGCAGCTCCAACAGCACCTCAGGAGCAGGGACAGAAGTAGTAGTAAGGTATAAAAAAATTAAGATGTTAAAGGCAAACTGATCTAGAAATCTGTGCCCCTTTCCAAAAATGACAGACAGTGGAATAGAAAGAAAAGATGACCTGCAGTCCTAAGAACTGAATATACCCACAGCATGAGGAATACAACCAGCTGGAGCCAGTGATGGTTGCCTTCAACAGAACCTCTGATGGAACTTACAAAGTGTAAAATTATTTCTGCTGGTCATAAAATGCAGTTAAAACACAGAAGAAGAAAGAAAACGTATTTTCCAACATGTTTTCAAAATAATCTGCTAGAATGGAGAAATATTTCTCACAGCTCTTTATCTTTTTTTCCTTTTCTCTGGCTCTTCAAGTTATTTTGAGATAATGAATGCATTATAAAAGAAACAGAGAGGAGTTAAGGACAACCAGGGTAACCAAGCATGTTAGTTTTGTTGTTTTTCAGTTTTTGAAAGCAACAATAAGAAAAAACAGACAGTGCATGCAAAATTACTGAAAGAAAAAAAAGCTAATGCAAACAAGTATAAAATTCAAGAAGCAAATCTTGAAATCTAATATTTTAGGGAAATGGCCTGAGGACCTGAACAAAATTTATGCCATTTCTTACTTGAAATTAGTTTAAAAGCCAAATTCTGTAATCACAGTGGACTGTACATGACATAAAAAGTATGCTAAAATGCTTTCTCAAAGAATGTTGAATAAAATATGAAACTTTAATAGTAACATACTTCCATAGAGCATACACAGAATTTTAGTATCTCAAATTTGATTTCCATCAACTGATTTTACACTGCAGGCAGCTTTTTGGAAAATGACTCACATTAAATACATTTATTAAATATATTTCATCTTTCCTTCCTAACTGGTTGGCAAAGTTAACAAATACATATATTCTACACAAAACCAAAGTTAGAAGAAAAAATTAAAGAGTTGATTGTAGAGTTCTCCATGGGGAAAGAGATAAACATGATACAGGTGACACAGCAGCTTAAAATACAGAAGTTTTAAGATATAAAACTTGTGCTAAAATATGGAGAGAGATATCTAAAAGGCAGATTCAGCCAGCTACCCTGTTTACCACTCTTGTTTGATGCTGCATCAAGTGGTTACAGTAGAGAGGCTTATTGATCACCCAGAACAGCAGCTAAGCCATAAAATGTGATGACTGGAGGTTGAATGCAAAATGAGATCAAACCTTCACTATAAGGACTGGGTGAAGTAGTGCAGTTACCTGGGAAGCCAGGGCAGGGAAAAAGGATACTCTGCTCTGAGTACCAATTTCACAGCATGGCTAGTGTTTTGCATTTCTTGTGAAAGGATGATGAAAAAACATCTCCTAGAGTCTCAGACTATCTCATTATTTCTGAATTTCTACCCCCAGGTTTTAGATGAGTGAGGGAAAAACAAGTAATTAATTAGCAACAAGGACAGTTTTTCCATAAGCATGAATGTTGCTCAAAATGATCTAGCAATCATATTCCAGCAAGTCTATCAAGAATAATAGTTATTTCTAATACACTTTAAAGTATTGTTTTGTTTTTATAGGGAATAAAGGCAAGAAATAACACCTGCACCTAATCTGATCTTTTTCTGCTGATCACACCATTAGGATATTTCAGACATAAAAGATGAGGAAAAAGTACAACTTTTAAAGATTGCTTCGCTGCTCTTATATTTCTTGTATTTCTGAAGTGATTGCACTTTCAGTTTTACTGTGTACATGAATTAGATTGTTTTGGACAGTTCCTCACTGCTTCTGTGGAAAAAAAAATATATATAAGATCATGGCAAAAGTTACAGCTTTCATATTTGTCTGTGTACAATGTGCTGATTTCAGCTGGGGTAGAATTAATCTTCTTTCCAGTGGCTAATACGGGGCAGTGCTCTGGATTTGTGCTGAACACGGTGATGATAATATGGGGATGTTTTTGTTATTGCTGAGCAAGAGCCAAGGCCTTTCCTGCTTTTCCTACTGCCACACTGGTGAGGAGACACAGCCAGGACAGGTGACCCAGCCTGACCAAAGGGATATTGCAGACTGTGTGACGGCTCAGTGTATAAAGTGTCAGAAAGAAGGAGCAAGGGGGGATGTTTGGAGTGATGGGGTTTGTCTTCCCAACTCACTGTAAGATGTGATGGGGCCCTGAGGATGGTTGAATACCTGCCTGCCCTTGGGAAGCAGTGAATAAATTCTTTGTTTTGCTTTGCCTGTGTGGCTTTTACTTTCCATATTAACTGTCTTTATCTCAGCCCATGAGTTTTCCACCTTTTACCCTTCCATTTCTCTCCCTGATCCTGCTGGTGGGGGAGTGAGTGAATGGCTGCCTGGGGCTTGGCTGCTGGCTGGGATGAAACCACACATGACATCCAGATCAATTCTTACACCTCGTTTTTTCTTTCAAGTTTTTCTTTCTATATCACCTAGAAATGTTTTGAGGCATAATGAGCTTCCAGAAGGGAAAACAAATATAGGTCCTTGCTGGGAACACTAAGGTCTGCAATATCCTTTATAAAATAAAGATCTGTCAAGTACAATCTACAGGAAAATCATGGCATATGGCAATTTTTTTTGAATGAAACTGTAAGCAACTGATCCTCATTTCATATTTCTAAACAAAGTCTTTAATGTGAGATAGACATAATTTCTTCAAGGAAAATGGTATGGCTCATTCTGATATCTATATTAACATGAAACAGATGCTCACACATATTTGTGGGGAATATGAGCAAAGAAAATTAATTTCTTCAGTAAATAATTGAAAATATTAATAATTTAACTGTGTGTTCTGAAATTAGAAAGTATATCTGAGAAGTAGTCAACAGAAATAATTAGTACAAAAATATTTAAAACAGGTACAGAAATCTACTTGTCTTTTATACTTCAGCACTAAATAATTTTAAATTATTAAAGTATGCAATTTCAGTGATAATCCAAGCCTTATAAATAAATATAAATATATATCTTTATTTTATGTTATATATAAATAACACCAGATAAATAAAATAAATAAACTACTATTATATAAAAGCAAAACATAAATTTTGATAAAATTAAGGCACTAAAGGCAATTAATTTCTTTCATATCCCATCTTATATCAGATATGACCAGCAATGATGTCTAAAATTTGATTCAGGATGTTAAAGCAAATAGTTTAATTCCTTCCAGATAGCTTTTTAATTGGAAAGTACTGTTTTCTGTATTTTCCTATGAAAATTTTCCCAGAAACTATAGGCAACAATTATCTTACAAAACACCAAACAACATATAACCAAAAACAATACACCAGTCCCCTGAAAAAAACAGAAATTAGTTGAAGTGACTGGCAAGGCTGAAGAGAAATGTAAGTGTATCTAGAAAGAAAAAATTGTATTTTTATTTTTCTGTTAATTTGATAAAAAATAAAAGCAGCTACAATTGTCTAACTCGTTAATTTTTAGAATTTCTTTCCTCCTTTTTTTCTTCTTAACTGATGCTTGAAACTACAAAAATGTTATTTTTAAATGTTTATTTTTTAAAAAAAAAAATTCTTTTGAATTACATATTTTTTCTCTCTGGTACTTCATGTTTTAGGAAACTGTGACTTTTTCTGGTTAGGTTGATAAAAGGAGTAACAATAATAGTTTAAATATATATTAAGGGTTAAGAAGCTACATACCTTGTGGCTGTTTAACCAGAAGATGAAAAACAGATTCCTTACAGGTGGCCTGGGACAGGACAGATGCACTCAGATGCTGATTCAACAGCCCCTGATCTAAGAAAAAAAATAAAAATTACTTGTTAAGAAAAAAAATAAAAATTACTTGTGAAAACCCATTTAGAATTCAAAATTGATGAAACAATTTCTCCAATAAAACAGCTTCACAAACAGAGGTTTTATAAAATACATATTTGAATGGGAGCACATGGCCCCTTAAAAGTTCTTTCAGTATTTTGCTCATTGTGAAGGATAGATACAATATGGACCTCTTTTTAAATAGAATTAAAATGAAATAACACAGCGTAAAGAAAACACAAAATAGAATTAAAATGAAATAACACAGCGTAAAGAAAACACAAAGTTTAAAATGTTTTCAGTTGAATAACACGTAGAGAGTACAAAATAAACTGTTTTCTAAATGAAAAAAATCAAGCAGCAATGAAAGCCAATGGTGACATGAAATGTAAGAGACAGGTTCAGGACCAGCAGAACAGACACAGCTGAATTTCTTTCTTGTTGGCAAGTTACTGGATCAACCAACAAATCACCTCATAAAGACAGAGAACTTCAATATTATATAGAATGTTCCACTGATCACTGTCAATGCTATGGATAAATGAAAAATGAGATAGGAAAAACTGGTTTGAAGCCCAATATTATAAAGAGGCTTTGGAATTGTTCAAGCAGCCAAAGGAAATTCCTTGCAGGAAATATGTCTAGCAGCTAACTCCAAGAATCTGAGACCAATAGATAGACTGTATCTGTACAAGATGTCATATTAAAGTGTGCTAACACTGAATGATGAACTGCTGACAGGAAGATAGGATACACAGGTCTCACCCACCAGCCAGGGAAGATGTCATTTGGGACTACAGAGCTAAGATTTAAAAAACAGAATAATCATCAAAGACGTTCAGGAAGGCAGAGAACAGCTCTCTTGGAACTATCATTCTTGGTTCTTGCAAGAAAAGAAACAGCACGAAGATTATTTCAGCTGAAGAACAAGGTTTTGAGTTTCAGAAACCAGCTTAGATGTTCAAAGTAAGATTTGAAAACTATGAGAAAATACAACAAGAATTGAAGGGCTCATTTTAATGTATCAATAAAACAATTGTATCATCTTTCCTGACCTGAGAGACTGAAGTAGCAAAAACAAGGCTATAGTGCAATCCTCCCCTATAATGCTAATTATTCTGTAAGAATTATTTTCTATCTTTTTTTTCCAGGATACTAATAAGCTGAATACTTTAAATTTCCCCTACTAGAAGAGTTTTGCAAACTTTATAATATATGGTATTTATTTTTCAGTTTATATCCTTTTACACATTCAGCTAAAAAGTAACTTGTACACGACGAGCTAACTACTCTCTGGAGATATTTTTATCTGAAAAATACAGTTTCACTGTATGAAATTAAAGGCACTAGATTATGCTTCATGATGCTTCAAAATTGCATTTATCAGTTCAGAGGTGCATTTATATATTGCACATTATTTTTTTAATTAGTAGCTAAAATAATGATTTTAATTATGTCAGAATTAGCACAAAGTGATTTTAGCACTTGTATTCTAAATTGACTAGATGACTAAAAATAGTATTTTTTCACATCTTTACTATTTCACTCTAACACTGACATGCATCCATACATATATATATATATATGAAATAATAGTTAATCCAATATATTTTGCCTGAGCAAAAAATGACCAAGTAGCAGACTTTTCTTTGAGTTCTTAGTTCAATTGCATAAAGTCCCAGAAAGCAATTTGAAAGTACTTTGCAAAGTACACTCAAAAAGTTGCAATTCTAGTTTGGAGTTTTTTCTAGTTAATTTCAAGTTAATGAGCAATATTATACATTTATAATCTTATACACTGCCACAGATATCAGTTTTGCTACTGCAGGTAGCACTGGATTCCAGAGGAACCAATCTACCTCCCTTATCTAATTCCTAATTACTGCAATAGCTTTAATCTTTTCTTTCAGCACATCCTTAAAACTCTGAAATGAATATCCTCTATAAAAGCTGTTGCAGTTTTTTTCTTGAACTATATATTTGGACAACTGAAAAGATGAAATTGAATTGTCCACATTGACTGAAATAAAGCATTCTGGTATTAACAAACCAATAATACTTAGGGATAATTCTTATACAGGTTAACTCTGGGGGCTCTGGCTTACACTGGAGATTTTAGTAGTTTCAATTATTTATATAATTTTTGTTGTTTCCAAAAAAGCTATTGGTAGAAATACTATACAGTGGTTTTACAGAAAAGCAGTATCATTCAGACTGAAACAGCTGAACTAGTACAGGTTTCTAAACCATCTGTGACAAGAGTTTGAATGCTCTGTAGTTCTGGTCATTGGCTCATTTTGGGGAAAATCACCTGCTGTCAAACAGACATTACTCACATGACAATTCTTAATGTAGCTGAGAATGCTGATGTGAATAAGAGCTGCACATTCAATCATCCAAGTGTCTAAATCCTGGGAAGAAAACTTACTGGTATTAAATCCAATAAGAAAATACCTAGTTTAAAGAGGTCCAGGGCAGCAGTAGTAATAGTTTTACTTGCTCTGTAATTATCCCAAGTAGAGGAATGTTAGTGTTACAACAGCAGCCAAAATTCACAGAAAGAAACATTTCTGAGGAATAGTGCTCTTGGGTTTGACACAGCTTCAGAAATGGTCTGGATAGGACAATTCCCAATTAATGTCTATTTTAATTCCTGAACTCTGCACTTCTAAACATAATTTCACAGCTATATAGGGCAGAAACTGCCTATGGAATGTTACTCAGAAATTACAATTGTGTAATTGTCTTTAAATCATGAAGCAAATCTGTAAATGTTGATGTTCATTGCTGTTACACTTTAATTGAGATGCCATATTTTCATTGTTGACACATTGAGTTCTCTTAAGAAGAGTCTGATGGTCTAAAGACAATTTCTAAAGATCAAGATCAGTCTGGCATATCATTCAGACTTCTGAGTTGCTCCCTTCTGTTGATTTCCCCATTCCACCCTCCTTCTGGCCTCCTGTAACACCAGCAATAAGCCTGACATATTATTTCTCAGGATATATAAGGGCCAGGAATGCTAAAATGAACTTGTGCATCCATAACTTTGCCTATAAGACTGGATTCATCTTCCTCTGGAAAGAAGGAAATGAGAATTCCAGTTAAGTATTCCTACACATAACAAATAATAGAATGAGTAACATCTAAACACAGCTTGAATGCATAAATCAACTTTCTCGTTGTAATTAAAGTAAACTTTATGTACAGGTCACCAAGAGCAACTGAATTAGGAAATTAAATTTAATTAGAAAACATTACAATTAATCTTATTAAAAATTCAAGATAGATTTTAAAGGACAGGTATGATTATCCTGTCATAAAGATTGTGATATACAATTTATCTTTTCAAAGAAGACCTTTTATAATTCCACAGATCACAGAAACATTAGATCATCATGATGTCAGTTCTACTGATGGGTAAAGAAAAATGAAGACTGAAAACTTCTGATGCATAAAAAAAACCCATCAGTCCTTCACTGTTTAAGCCATATGCTTTCTGCTCCTGAATCTCAATGGGACAAGTTCATGCTCAACAGCTAGAAAGGTGACTGTTTTCACTAAAATAATTAAACAATGCAGTTTCTCCTGTTTCTCAGAATTTAACAATCTACTAAGCTTTAGTTACAATGTTTAAGCTCAATAAATAATTTCTGATTAAGTTGCATCACAGATGAGTTTGATTATTCTTCTGCATTATTTTTTGAACAGCACACTGGATTAGCATTCTTACAAATAATACCTCATAGTAATGGAATACTAAACTATGCTCTCTGGCAGCAGATTTATTCTCAATAAGACAAGCAGTTTGCATCTCTTAATTGCTCTTATTGTTGTACAAATCACAATCCCAGCTTGCACTTTCCACTAGAATAAAGCATTCTGCATTCATGAGATGCAACAGGAATCTTTATACCATAGATGTAATACAGACCTACACTTCAAAAGTTTATATAATCAATTATTTCCTGGTCAAATAGGGTGGGTTGCACAGTTAGTAATTCACAGCACTTCTAATTCACACAGTTTGGCCTAAGATAAGCAAACAGGGTAGATGGAGTGAGGGGAAAATACAAAGGGTTAACATTTTAGCATGAAAATTGCATTACTAATAATGTAAAAGTTCACTTTGTCTTCAGTTGTTCCAGGAATGATGAGCTGATGAAAAAAGCAATTCAAAACTGAGGTACACCAACAATTTATCAAGGTACCTCTGGACTGCAGCTCTACCATCCATCATGTCAGTTCCTCTCCCTAATTTACATTGCAATCTCTGTCATCATCCATGTCCTTAATAAAGGTCTTGAATAATATGGGGCCCAAAGCTGACCCCTGGGGTGCAACAATCATCACCAGCCAGCAGCTGAATGTCAAGATGTGGATCACTATCATTTGAGACCAACAGCTCAGCCAAGTTTCCAATCCACTCAGCAGTCTGTTCATCAAGCCTGGACTTCCTGTGCTTCCAAAAAAGAGTGTTACAGGATGCAGCGACAAAGTCTTACTAAATCATAGTGTATTACATTCACTGCTCCTCCTTTATTTGCATAATCACTCACTTCCATACAGAAGGCAATAACATTTGTCAATCATGATTTGCACTTAAGAAATCCATTTGACTACTCCTGATTACCTTCTTGACCTTGATGGGCTTGGACATGGACTGTAAGAGAATGTGCAAATCATGGGCTACACACACTGCAAAAGAAAGATTCCAGTGACCCCACCAAGGGTTCAGGTGAGGGTGATCATCCTGGATTCTTCAGTCTTCCTTCTATCACTTTCCAAAGGAGGAAACAAAAATGCCTTTTCCCAGTCAACAGAAAAATCTCCTGATCAACATGAATTTTCACAGAAAACAAGTGTCACAATCATATTGGCCAGCTGTTCTATTACATTGTGAACTCCATCTGGATTTGTGGATCTGAATACCTCCAGCTAAGTCCTCAGCCTGTAGCTCCCCTACAGGCTGCCCATTTCCATCTCAAAACAGGAATTTCACCTAACACAGCATTCATCCAACTGGTGAGGCTCTTGCCATCCACACTGCAGTGCCAGGGGGAAACCTCAACAATTCCTGACTGCCTTAGACCAGAGTGGCAGCTACCAAGCTCACAGCTTCCATTTGGATTACGGAAGTAATGACTGCACAATCAGAATGACTGTGCAAGAGCAGCTCCTGTGCTGTGCAGTCAGCACTAATGCTTCCTTTTCTACTGTGAGAAGCACTTTGGAGCCTTGTGTATGTGCCCTGAATGCCACCTGCTGCAGCAACTGCCCTGTCACCATGTGCAGAGACAGTCTGCAGTGCTCCTTGTCACTTAAGGACACCTAGAAGCCACATAAGTAGGAATCTGGACAAGACTGTTTCTCTTGATTCCAGGATCCCCCTCTCTGCCAGGTACCCTGCTCAGCACTGAACTCTGGCAATGTCCCCAAGATCCTGGCTGTGATTCACTTGGCCTGTAAGCACTGAATATTTTGCATGTTTTTGCTTCTTTCAATCCAGAAGAGAACATCAACTGATATTCACAAGTGGTGTCGTCATTTACAAATGGTACTCTGTTTTGTGACAGTCATGAATGAAAATATTTCAGCAGTTAAACAGGGAAAATTGCACTGAAGTCTGACAAAAAAAACCTGGCCAGCAAATGTACAGTGTTTAGTCACAAGACCAAGATGCTCTTGACCTTTTAGGTAAACATATTTTCAAGATCCCCTATATGTAAACTGCATATGTGGAAAAAGCTATATTCCTTTATTTCTAATTCATATTCAGAAGGCATGATTAAAAAGGATAAGTTTAATCCAACAAATAAACATGAATCTAAGTTTTTAAAAATCACATTTCTTCACTTACTCTATTTTCCAGAAACCCTGAATCACAGCACAAGTGTGTACACATGGCTTAAAACTTACCTTTGAACAGGCTTGATTTTGATATTCTCTTATGGTTTTGTTGCTATTTCTCTTACATTTATTTATTTATGAAGATAAAACTGGAAGGTTTATCTTCAATTTTTGTTATTTGCAGATGCTGGGGCATGCTTTGGCACCTGTTTTCTAATGCTACTTACGTGTTATGTTCAAGTAGGTGGAAATTCAGAGAGCCTTTTAAAGCCTCCTGATGCACTCAAAGTGAAATTTCCTCTTTGACTGACTAAATTTTAATCATCAATGAGAATGTGGGATTTAGAACCTGAATTCTTACAGAATTTGTGAAATCCCAATATGGACTCACTTGTAGGTCTCTGATAATTCTGGATCTCATATTATTCTTTAAAGCATGTTTGAAAATATTGATAAAACATACTTGCTTGGAAGGTCATCAGAAAAAAAAACAAGTAATCACAAAGAAAACATTAGGAATGTTTTGCCTTTGCTCTCTTACTAACTTCTTTAGTTACCCAGACTCTGATCAAATAATATAAAATGTTTGAAGGTAATTGAGGAACAAAAGTAAAGCAAAGCTTGAGCTATTTGGCTTCGGCACAGCTACCAAAGCACATCCCAGGAGTCTCCTGTTGCCAAAATGATACAGTGCAGCACACAGCCAGCAAGCAGCTGCACATCCATATGGTGCTGCATGACCTAAGAAGTCTTCTGTGAACAGTTGTAAGAGGTTTGTGTTCTTTCCTATCTCCCACAGCACACTCTACAGAGTTTTCAGGGTGGATGTGGACAATACACAATAACTCTATTGCCAAAAAACAGAATGAGGAAAATTTAACCACATCCCTTTCACACTTCTAATGGAACCCAAGGAGCTTAAATTCCTTCCCCCATTCCAAAAAAGATAAAAATTCCAAACCCCTGTACCTGCCAGCAGGATATCTACCACCACGTTTTCAGCAGTTGGGTTTTCGAAGGATACGATGACAGAGGAGTACTCGCCGATGCAGGCACTGATGGTGGTTGCTTCCATCCGTGCAGGAGGAATTCCAGACCCTGTCAGGTGAAATATCCGCTCTCCAAACTGTGAATGAAACGTGACATTATTTTTTATTTGATAAGTCGGAGTTGTACCTTTTAAAGTATCTTGCCTACTTCTTTCTTCTGCTGCTCTGTGTCTCTGCTATAAGTGAAATTTATTTTTGCTTTCCTCTCTTTTTCTTCAAGTTGCTGTTACTCTAAGTATTGCTATCTGGAAATTAATAGTTTCATTCTGGGAAATGTTCGCATCTCCTTTCTGTGTTTAATTTCTGTCCTACTTCAAGCACATAGTATTTAACTTTCATCCAGCTACTCAGAGCTTGCAGTGTAGGAAATGGAGAGATGTAGGTGGTTGCAAAAGCAAAATTCAAAGCAGATATATTAAAACATGAAAGCAGATGAAGCGAGAAGTTCTCTCCAAAAGACAAAGGAAGAAAGAAATTATTTGATGGGACAGCAGTAGAATCACACAAAAAGCTGAAAGTGTTACTCTAAACCTAATAATGAACATTAATCTTCATACACAGAAAAATCAATTGGAAAGAAATAGTAGAGCCAAGATTTGCATGGACCATCAGGTTTCAGAGAAAATAAGGACACTGTGTCCTCTTGAACTAAACTTGGATATATACTATTCATATTAGCATTGCTGTCTCCTTGTTTTTATCCTTAATAAATATTTAAGAGAGAGTCTGAAAATAAATACTGTGCCAACACCACCTGCACATAACCTGTCTGTTCAATATACTTTTCAGGAAAAAAAAAATTGCCACATGACTTCCTTCAATATTCATTTCTTTCATATAAAAGAATATTCACTTTTTTAGTATTACTTATAACACTAATGAAAACTTCTGGTAGCACTCAGCTGGAATAATTCACATGTCAGCAGACTTCTAGGATATCTGAAACTCAAAAAAAAACACAGAGAAGAAATTGCACAGAAAGCAAAGGCTTCATTTAATCACATCTTGCATGAAGAAATATCACCATTTACATTGTACTATCAGTTTTTCTTTTTTATTCCAGCTGTAATTTAAAATCAGTTAGTAGGTCACGTTGATGACTCATGTCTCTCTATTTACTTTTTTCTCATTCAACTTTAGGAAAATTCACAGAATAAAAAGAAGTTAACAATTCTAAGGTGTTCAAAATAAAAAACATTTTCAGATAAAATGAACGGAAGTATTCAGTTTTTCACATGTGCGGCATTCTAAAATTCAGATTGGATAAAAAAATGAAACAATTTAATTTTTGGAGGGGTTGGGAAAAACATCAAGAAATTTAACTTTAGTGGTGACACTGCTAAAAAGTGCCAGTCTTTTAGTGTTAAAACCAGCATAACTAATTACTGAGCGAGCGAAAAGTATTCATTACCTGTTCCAGCTCCTAGGCCATTATACCACATTATAATACTGTAAATAGAATCATTCCTGTGTAAAACCAAGGATAAAACAAACTATAAGTTCTGAACATCTTTGTGTTTGTTCTCTCATTATGCTTCCATTCACTAAACTTCACCTTGACCTATGGATGCTAAATCTGAACCACAGTGCCTGTACAAATTACAGGCCGCATAGCTCCTCAGGCTGCCTGAGAAAGTAGCCTGGGAAAAATATGAGAAGGAATTAAAACAATTCTCAGGGATGCTAAACAGCCTTGCAGGTGTTGTTTTGCAGTCCTCTTGTTTTCCCTTGCAGGAGAGAGTCAGGGGGGTAGTGTGCCCCTGACCAATGATGGTAATGTAGCACTTTGCTAACCAATAAGAGTTTCTTTTCTGTACTTTCCACGTATCTGTCTATAAGACAGGCCTGAAGCAATAAACTAAAAGAATTCTCCTGTTGAGTCTCCCTTGAGAGTCCAGTGTCGTTCTTTATAGCCGTTCCCAATCGGAACGACATTGACCTACAGGCTGAACATCTTCCCTCCCTGACTATCATAAATAGTGTCTAACCCCAATCCCAAGTGTTGTGGGCACAAGCACATTCTCATACCTTTGGGCATTTGAAGGTTACTGTTGCCTTGTGATTGCGTCTTCCAAGGGCAGAGGGAGTGAATCTCACGGGCAGCTGGGTGGTGGAATGAGGAGGAATAGTCAGCTGTACAAACACAAGAAAAACACAAAAGAAAGGAGGGGTAAGGGAGAGGAAATCAATTTTTTTTGCATCCATTTCTCTTCTGTGCTTTGCACCAAGAGTGTTGATGTGTTTGCCATTAATGGGTTCCACCAGGTGCATTTCCCCTGTCAGGGAGTTATTGCAGCAAACAATCCCAGTGTCTGTCCCTGCACATCCACTGCCCAGCAGCTCCAGGGCTGGGGCTGGAACTGCTCAGGGACACGGACAGCAGCAGCTCCAGCACCATTCCAGCAGCGCTCCGGCGTCGGATCGTACCGGTGACACTGAAGGGCCATCACAGTGACCCCCACAGACACAAACTGGCTCAGAAAGGAAATACATGCCAGGTTTTAATAAACCAGTGCTTTGTCTCTCCCCTGCTCACCTTTAGCAAAACCAACACTGCAAATAATGTTGAGACTTTTCTCCTCAAGTATTCTACTCGAGACTCAATTGCACAGGAAAAGCAAAGTAGCTGACCACAATGGATTAATCTCTGTTTTCAAGAACCAAATAAGCAGCAAATTAATTGAACTATGAAGAATAAAAATGCCAATGCATTTAGAGACTGATCAGCCAGAATCACTGAATACACAATTAATATGACAATTTCTTTTATAAAAAACAGGTATTAGCCTTTTAATATTATAAATGTCTAAATAATGTTGGATGTAAGAAGAGATAAAAAAGAAATTGATTAATATCATGAGAAGTTAACCTGTGTTTCATAAAAAGAATATAATTTGTAATAAATGAAGGTCAAAACAACATCCTACAACAGTTGGGACTGAGAAAACACACATATAACTACCAACTCCTAGTGTTCCAGCAAGACTGAAATATGCACAAGTAATACAGTAGTTCTACAATTTTTATAAGGTTAATTGATTAGTGTAACTATCAAATATTGTCCAATTAGAAGAACATTTCTTAGGTAATTTTACCCCAGGTACTGCCCCACTGGAATTAGTCCAGGGGCTTCTTTGTCCCATTTCTTGTGTCTTCTCAGATTCTATTTGGAAAACAAAACATCTTTGTTATAGGTTTTCTCCTTGAAAAAAAGACTAGAAATTAAAATTAAAAAATAAGACTTATTTCAGGAATGTGTTAGAAAGTTAGCTTCTTGTTTTAAAATGTAGGGGAAAAAGAGTAGGAAAAGTACAAAGAGCTACAACCATGTGTTAGCAGTTTCCAAAGCCACAAATACATGAAAATATATAAAAAGCTAAAAACCTTTAGTCATCAGTACCAGCCCAGTGAGGGACAGGGATGTTGATGTGCCCTGAACAACAGATATTCCTACTGATTGCAGCGAGAGGTAGGTTGGGCAGAAGAGAGAACAGAGCTCAGGTGTGCTTAACTAACACACAAAACTTGAAATGTTATTTTCTTTTTCTGGGGAGAAGGTTTTAAAATAATTCATCAGACTACTGCCATAAAAGTTAATTAAACTTTCATTTTCAGTCCAGTTTCTACCTACTAGTAAGACCCATTTATCAAATGAAGACCTTCAAATGGAGAAAGAGCCATAGTGGAAAACACTCCCTCCCAGATACTTTTTAATAAAATGAAAAAGTAAGTAAAGACAGGATGGCATAGAATAAGACAACAAAATTAAATTAACACTAAGATTTTTAAATATTGAGTAATTTCAGTAAGACATCCACATTATATATAATTATAATATAATTATATATTATAAGAACAATAACTCTCCCACAGACATGCAAACAGACAGGAGTTCGATTTCCAGTAAGTATTACTTGACATATTATCATTACTCAGAAAATGAACTGCCACAATGAATCAAAATAATCAACATGGAGTTATGATAATCCAGCAGACTGCCTGCTCTGAAAGCAGAAAGGATTGTTAATTTTTACAGTATAGATTTGGTTTTACAAATTCATTTTGTATTATACAGCATGATGTTCCATGAATCCAAAAAATAATTTGTTTCGAAATAAGCTGGGCAAAAAAACCTACTTACTGTCTACTGAAATAAAAAAAAAAAAAAAAAACTTTTAAAACTAGAATTGAGAAATAATGCTAAAAAGTATATTTTAAGAAAGTCGTAGAATTATTCAATCATTCAATTAAATATGCTGATGCTAACACATCTCCTGCCTTTCATTCTGTTTGCATAAACAAGTGGTTTCCACGATACTCATGTGAAAAGGAACCAATATCATTGCTCTTCATATGATCTCAGATACAGCAGTTCAAATATAGAAACTGAGTCTGAAGTTAACTACAAATATATTATTTCTGTTATAAAATGAAGAAAAAAGGGGAATCTTTCATTAAATTTAAAAGCTTGCTCTCTACTCTGTACAAAACAATAATTGTGGTCATTAAGAAAATCCTTAAAGCTTGCACACAGAGGCTGCACTCCTCTTTGTAAGCTCTTTTCTATTATTTGCCCTCAAAAAAAAATTTGTTCAAAGCCAATCAGGAAAGAACACAGCTTAATGAAAAAGGTTTAGGTTAGTTATAAGCCAGGAGAGTAGCAAACTGAAGACTTACAGTGAAAGTATGTTTCTTTTTGGCCATAGAGATGACCCTGTTTGTCAGATTTTTGTACTTTGTAAATATATGTGTATATCAATATAATACACACACATATGAAATACATCAATGTATTTATATAAAGGAAAAGTATTAAATTGAAAAACATATTATTGATGATTGAAAATTTTCAGCTGTTAGGTGCTGAATCTGAATCCTTTTCTGCTAAAGACAAAGAAAGCTGTGGTCAGGATAGAAATACCAAACTCAACATCCCCATGACTTTTTCCCCAGACATCCCCAATGCCCAATATGCTAATGAAAAACAAGCTGGAATTTTACAGAAAACTTACATAAATTCACATTCATTTTGGCTTTTAGATAACTTGGCAGCATTTATAAAGTTATTACATTAGCTTAAGGTTGAAGAGGAGGGAAACAAAAATTAGGTGTAGCTTGTTAAAAAAAAAAAAAGGAAAAAATATATGAAAATCCAAATCCCATTAAAGAGAGTCCTTGAAAGCTTTTAATAAATTTCTGGAAGAAAACCAAGATGTTATATTCCAGTTTAACTGATTAGGCTACAATTGCAAAGCCACTAGTAAGATATGCAGTCTTTTCTCATTTTTATCTCATTTTTACCCTTTACAAAGGGTAACAGAGCTGCTTCTAATTGACATGAAACTGACAAAGGATTTAGAGCCTTTGAATTCCATTTAGACTTCATTATGCACCCTGAAGTTCAGGAATACTTGAGCCTAATCCAACTGGTCCTCAGGAAAGCATATTATTAATGATGTCCATACTTGAATCAGATCTATAGAAAATAATCCCCTGTGATATTTCAGTAATGCCCTTTGTTCCAAACTGAAAACGGAACAAACAAACTTACACACACACAGAAATACGATAATAATATTGGATTGTATTTTTTTTTAATTCTGAAATATTAGTCAAAATTTGGTTATTCATTTTAGGCAGATATTTTAAGGGAAAAAAAAATTCTTTGAGATCACTTTTGAATCTGGTTTATCTAGCATAACTCAGGGACTGAAGAAATCAATTTGAGACATTTTCTGATCTAAAGCCCAGCACATTCAAATATTTTTATGTCATTTAGATGGCGTAAAAACACATGGAAATTTAGATAAAATATAAAAGTTATTGGCCTGACTCTACTGTCTTCAAATATAATGTATCTTCATTGAACAACCTCATCTTCAATCTATTGTTCTAATAATTTGCTCTTTTTTGTTGCCTTTCATCCGGGGGTTGCACAAACCAGAATCTTTCTGCTGACAAGAAAGTGTTATTTGCTTTAAAGAGAGCACAAACTCAGATGATACCCACACATAGCAAAGGCTTTGAAATGGGTATTAATATAAACCAATTCCTGAAACACGGGGCATGGTTTATGAGCAGTAACCTTCTGGAAGTTGAATGCATTATTGTGGGGAGCTCCTAAGACTAAGATACAAAATATTCAGGAGAAGCAAGAACATCTGGAGTGCTGTGTCCAGTTCTGGGCTCCCCAGCCCAAGAAAGACAAGGAATTACTGGACAGGGTCCAGCAGAGGCCACAAAGGTGGTTGGAGGTCTGGAGCATCTCTTATGAGGAGGGACAGCAGGAGTTGGGCCAGTTCAGTGTGGAGAAGAGACAGCTGAGAGGGGACCTCATCAATGCACACAAGTATCTTAAAGGCAAATGCCAAACTCTTTCCAGTGCTGCCCAGTGACTGGAAGTTCCATCTCAATATGCAGAAAATCTTCTTTCCTATGAGGGTGACCAAGCAGTGGAACAGGCTGCCCAGGGAAGCTGTGGAGTCTCCATCTCTGGAGATATTCAAAACCTGCCTGGACACAATCCTGTGCAACCTCCTCTGGGTGAACCTGCTCTAGCAAGGGGGTTGGATTTGATGGTCTCCACCCCAACCACTCTGTGATTCTGTGATACAAATGCCACCCCCTGACATTGTCACCAAAACTGAAGGAAACCACATAACCTCTCCAAGCATGGATTTGTAATGAAAGAAATAGGTTTAAAAAGGGACAGCTCCATTAAAAAAATATTAAGTGCTTGCATAAAGCAACCAAAGCTCTCCTGTAACGGGAAGAACTACAACAATTAACAAGGAACATTTCAGAATTCAATCCATAAATTATATGTAGAACTGAGGATTACAATAAAAAAGAAAGAGAGAAAATTACTGCAGTTAGTGTTGAATGTGTCTTTTCCTACACAATATAATATATCTATTGTTGCTGTATGAATCTCTGGTAATAAATTATGAGAGCAGAGATAGTTTTTTCTTGTTGTTAATTTCCTGCACCAGATAATATGCAATCTGCAGCAGCCAAAAGTCATTATAGGTAAATCTAACACACTTCTGTGCCAATGACCTAAATATAATACATATATAAGACTTCCAGATAATTAATATAATTTGCATTCGTTATGTTTCTAAGCTCCTATTCAAATAACAATTCATTAAATTATTATTAATAACACTAATCTAAAACTAGTCAAGTTTTAATGTAGTTTATAAAGATGTGTTATTATGCACAAAAAAAAAGACAGACTAGAAAAAACTTCACATTTTATACTTTTAATTTAATGGAATCCTACATAGCAATATATGGAGAAGCTGAGTAAATAAGTTTGATGTCCTTTAGCTGTTACTGTCAGGGCCCCTTTTAGGAACATCTGGTCTGGCTGTACTGCTGTATTTGAGGCTGAAAGCTGTTTAGTTTCTGAAAAGCAAACCTATAATGACTATGTATAATTTCTCTATTTTCTCTATATGGTCTTTTGTATCTTCTTGGCTTTATTTTGTTACAATATTCCTCTCTTCTCTCTCTGACCCTTAAACCCTTTTTCAGGAATAGAATCATAAAATTGTGGAATATTTCGCACTAAAAGGGACCAACCAGCTCTGGTGATTCCCTGGATTACTTTCTTCATGCCTACAAAAGGCACCATTTCTTTCCTGTCCAGCACAGGGTTTTGTTTGGGGTTTTTTTGTTTGTTTGTTTTGTTTGTTTGTTTGTTTTCCCCATATTAAAGGTTCAGAATTCATCTCCTAAGAGGTTGTGATGGAGGCACTCAATGCCACTCATTCTCATGAAGATTTTCCATGTGTCTGCACTCCCTCTTCTCATCTCCCCATCATGAAAAAGTCACATATTTCATAGAATTAATTCAATAATATACAAATAATTGCTTACGTGACCTGCACTATTAATTAGCATTAAGTGGTCAATAACAAATATTTTTCTGAACCCTGACCACCTAGAACTCTAGAAAATTTCAATGAAAATATAAAAGCCAAGCCAATCTACACATGTTATTCCTAGAAAGGACAAAAATGTAAGGCAGCAAGATGGAAGGGCTTCTGTGAAGGAGGAGGAAAAAGTAGAGTACATAACAAGAGGGTTAAGATTTTCTCTGTAGAAATCACTCAAAGTATACAAGGTACCTGTGAGGCTGGAGAATAAAACAATTCTAGGTATTTGCTTGAAGCCTCTTTGTAGTTGTATTGATCAAATTATTATTTATAGTCCTTGCAAGTTGCTTATAACTGCCATGACTATGAGATACTCTTGTATTCTTCCATTAATAGTTTATCTACAAACCTAAATATTTACCTAGCTATCCTGTTGATTATTAGATACTTATGAAGCTTCTAACCAGCTGGTTTGTTTACAACTTCTCCTTCTAATATCTCCTGAATTATTTACAACCTACACTGCAGTCCTGCTCAAAACCATTCCACAAAGTATTCCAGGAAAAAAATCTGCACTTCAGCTTCAGTTGCTTTTCATGTTTGACTGTTTTCTACCTCAGGCTATAAAATCTCTAAAATATGTACTTAAAATGTGTGAAAGATTGTATATTCTGAACCCACAGTACAATACATAATTCAACTTGTTTTGAAAAGAAGGCTCTCTTTTGTCTTTTTTATAAAAACACAGAAATCTTACTTACAGGTTGTTTTGGGTCAGCCTCAACTGCAAAATGGCTGGGATCGCTGTTAACCATTTGTAGAACCAGAGTTTCATGAGTAGGATTAGCAAGAGGTATGTATGCATAAGTCCATCTGGAAAAATTCATATACAGAATGATGATTAATGACAAAGCTTCTTCCATTACATGTCATTATGCACAGGGTTTTTTTTTATTATTTCCTGAAAAATTCTGGATTTTCTATTTTAAAAATAATAATTAAGTTTTATTGCATTAGCAGATCCCCGCTAATGTGGAAACATATTTATTAACTTCATTTATTATTAAAAATAATTATTAATAACAATAAATCCTAAATTCATTTAATGTTTCATTTTGAAATTTTCCAGATCAATAGAAAAAATAATACAGAGAGGACACAATGAAAAACATTATTCTTATATTCAAATTCCACTGCTGCTTCTGCATTCAAGGAAAAGGCGGTATAATGGAAGTTAATCTGTTAAAAAACTAAAGATCTTCACCAACAAGAAATGCTTCAAATATCTGATGATGTTTACATTCACATTTCTGAGTACATAGCAAGGAAGTACATCCATTCCAAAAATTCTCAAATTGATATCTTTCATAGACAATACACAGATGTTTACCTGCACTGCCTTTACATATTCAACATACATTGATACAGACAATTTACTTGGACTATCTCATCTTTTTATGAGGCAGAGAAATTCCCAGTAATTCAGCTGTAACCTCAATGCCATCATTATCAGCTCTTGTCCAACCCTTTGCACTTCAAGAAGAGTGCTGATGACATTATGCTGACACTGCTGGACACCACCGAAAAGATCCTGGCACCAGCCTCTTGGCACCCATTTTTGTGATATTTATATTGCATTGTATTAATGAGATCCCCTCCCAGCCTTCTCCTCTCCAGACTAGAGAGGCACAGATCTCACAGTCTCTTCCTATAGGAGAGATGCCCCAGAGCCCTCATCATTCCTGTGGCTTCCACTGGATCCTCCCCAACAGCTCCTTGTCTTCCTTGTGGTGAGGAGCCCAGAACTGTCCAGAACTGGACATGGTGTCCTCCACATATTTATAGATACACAGGAACTGTAACATGCATGATCTTGTTAAGGGGAAAGAAATCTCATTGAAAAAAAAAATAAAATATGGACGTTGAGGAGTTTTAGGTAAGAATTTTGACAAGAGTTGTAGTTAATGGTGCTAATCTTTTCCAACATCCATTTTACTTGCAGTAGGAAAGGATGTCTTGCCATTTTCCACTAGACCATTTGTGCATTTCCAGGCAGTGCAGGCCAGAGAAAATTATGAGTGCCAGAAACTCCAAATAAAAAGTTTTAAGTAATTCCTAACTCCTAATAACAATAGCCTATATAGCAGAGAAAAAATACGGTTTTACTCCAGTCAGCCCAGAATTTTAAAGCAAAAGCCAGGAAACAGCACAATTTTTTTTCTTTAGAACATAATAACAAAGGCATTGTCAGTTATCTCCAGTCTGTGTATCATATTTGAACAGAAGAATATATTCCCTCACAAATATTTAATCAGGTAAAATTTCATGTTGTGCTCTCTAACAACATTTCTGCTCAGTCTGTAATGTAAATTATCTACAGATTTAGTCAAAGATACACAGAAGTAAGGGGAATTTGTCATGCAGAAGAGCAGAGTGTCCACAGAATCTATTAGGAAGTGGAGGTAATACATGGAAAATCACTATTGAAACTGACTTTCTTCAAAGTCTTATCCTCAAAGTCTTAGTTTATGTCTTAAAAGCGAGAACTGAACTGAACATTATGCTATCAAAATGAAAGTTGAAATTTTGTTGAAGGATGGTAATAATTGGGTTAATTTCTCTTAAGGCATTCATTTTCTTAACACTTGCAGTGTTTCAACCATGTCTACCCACAGGATCTGCAGGACAGAAGTTGCATTATTTTGCCATTTCTTGAGAGGTTAAAAGATATTGCTAACTAGTAGATAAGCATTTGTAAAGCATGATTGTCAGTAAATTCCTAGTTCAGAGAGAAGAAAAGAAACAGAAAATAAAGCAAACCTGCAGAGCTCTGTAAAATGGATCCTGGTGCTTACATTCTGCAGTATTGTCAGTGATTTTTATATAAAGAATTCAGTAGTTTACATAGAGGCTAAAATTTCATTTCAATCGTTTTTCTGTAAGGAATATTTCACCTTCCTGCAAATATATTTTAAAAAATATTCTGCAACCTACTACAGCAGACATAGAGCACTATTCTGAGTTTAAACTCTTCATATATTCCATGACACTTAAAAGCAGTGACCCAGTCCAGCACTCTGATCTACTCACTCACTTTCCAAGCTCACATCCTATATCAGGTAGCCCAGCTGGCGATGGCTTCTCTACGTTGAACTTCAGGGAATACCAAAATTCCCCAATCACATCTGACCGGAACATGACACTAAAAACAGATATATAAACTTAACATGACAGCTATTTTTTTCAGATCATTAAAAAATCTGAAGAGATTAAAATTCAGGAGAAACCTAATGAGTTCAACACAGTGAGTTCTTTAATTAGATCATATTTTTCCTCCGTTCAACACTTACTGCTGGTATCTGAATTCAGCTACCAACTCTAATAATATTTAGAATTACTGATGCAACAAAATCTCATCTTTGTCTTTCTTAAATTCTACCAATAAAATTCATTTGTTGCTTGTAGTTTCTGTTAGCTTGCTTTCATCAAAAATACAACTCAAACATATTCCAGATTACAAGAGTAAGCTTTAATTTCATTTCAATATCACAGTCTTTTGTTTTTAGCCATTTTGAAGGTCAAAGTGACAGAAACATTATACATTAATTTTAAAAAGGAATATCTTTTCAAATCTAGTGGTAAAAACTGAGGAATAGAAATAGACACATTCCTATGAGCATGGCAAAGAGACTTCAAGGAATATTCAATATATTGTTTTGATATACAATCAAGGATTGTCATGACTGAAAATTGCTTGCTGCTAGGTGAGATATATATGGTAATATATTTCAGCTACAGACATTCTAATACAGTCCTTTCCTACTGCAGAATTCCTTTTCTATTTCTTGAGGATTTTGAGTAACTGAGTCATAATAACATTAAACCAAAGCACTGGAAACATATAAAAACTTAGAAGAAATGCACTGTATAAACCCATGACCCTCCAAGGATGAGTTCTTTTTCTAAATTATAGATAACTATGTCTATTCCATGACTTTATGGTTCCAGTCTATCCCCTGTGCCAACAGAGCTTTTAAAGTGAGCGTAAAACAGCTCTAGGAAAGAATCAACCATTTGAAAAGGTACACCTGCCACAATCCCTTTTTCAACAGTTCTTCCCAGCTGCTAACATAGCAAAGGAAACAGACCATGGCTTCAGAAAAATAAGTTAATAGTGTGGATGTAATGTGGAAGTACCTCTGTCCAGCTGTAACTGCAGTCTGTGGGAGCTATTGCAATTTAAAAGAGCTATTACACACTTCTAGAACAAAATTGCAAAACCATTTGGAGAATGTCAACATGTGCTTTATTTCACCTCTGCATATATTCCCTAAGACCCTGCCCACCAAAGCTGAGCCCAAAGTTTTGTCCTGTTAAAACAAACTTTTATCTTATTATTGGAAATAATTATTGGAAATTCAGTACTTGAAAAATACCAGAAATAATTCTGGTATGGAAAAAAAGTTGAGCTCAATTCTCATCTTCACTTTAAGATAGCATAATTTCTACAAGTTCCCACACAAATAAAATAAAAAATTAGACTTACTAGAGTTATAACAGTACTCATTTTTATATAACAGTATTAGGTGAATCTGTATCACTCAGTGATACCTGACATTATTCTGGTGTTTGGAAAAATCAATACAAGACAATTGAATAATTCTCTAAATGGATTTTGACTATAAATATTCTTTCAGAATTGGTCAGATGTCTCTGCCCTCCTCTTAAATTACCACCCAACCCTCCAACCCATCCCCATATTTTTGCCAGTCAGTTGAGCTAACTGAAAAACAGGAAATTGTTTTTCAATCAGCCTTTAGAATAAATAATGCTTTGGTAACCAAATTCCAGGAAAATAAGCTTTGCAATTCTACACTGTTCAATTACTTGCTGTAAGACCAAGAGGTCATCTATCTTTTCATTGGTAGTTATCATACCTGCATGTTTTCATTGGGATTTCCAATATAATGAAAAAGTTTTAACTTGAAACCTCTCCATATTCGTTTAGTAGATCATGGTTAAGTAATGGAATATCATGAAAGTAAATTGATTTAAGTGAAGACAGTTAAAGGGTTCTCTACCTGCTTTAGTTATGTTCTTACAATTTCAATCCTTCTCAGAAAAAATGAAATTGTGCTACTCCCATTACAGAACTTAAAAATTTACAAAACTAATGATTAATCTGAAGTTTTAAAGGAGGGCTTCTAAAATTAACAAAGTTTCTAAGACATTGTTCACTAAGTTGTAGTGAATTAGAATAACAAGGAATTACTCTATTGCCTGTCAATAATGCTTTTGCCCTGAGAAGAAAGCTGCTGTTAGGGATACAACACATTTAAAGCTGAAAATTTTCTTAATTCCATTTATTAATTTTTTCTGTTGGGGTTATTAGGTCAATATTTTCAACTGACTTAGGTTTCAACGAAAGTAGTTCATTTATTAGTAATACATCCACAATCACAAGTATCAAAACTCTACAACAAACCTTCCAGCATAAGAGCCAAGAGCAGCTGCAGAAAACTGTAGGTGATATGAAAATGTTTGTTTGGGCCTGAGGATGAAAGACTTTTCTCCAAAAAGGGATGGATGGTCCAGCAGCACACTCATCTTGAGAACTTTATTGGTAGGATTAGTGATGGGAATATTAATTCCAACAGTATCCTAGAAAGAATAAAAAAACCCAAAATCACAAAATTAATTTTGAGTGATTACACATAAAACATATTTCTCAAATAAGTGTAAGTTCATTGTTTACACTTGTGCAGACCCAGGCTGCACCTTTGTTTGGTGTGTGAACTCTAAATCCAAATCCAAAAAAAAGCTAAGTTTCAGCAAGAAATGTTTCAGACAACCTTCAAATTGTAAACTCCTTAATTCCTTAATTTCAGAAAAGTTCAAATCTTCATGGCTGGTCTGCATTCTAACAGTCCACTTCACCTTCCAAGATATGTCCAAGGCTTGCCAAAATACACCTTTCAAGCCCATCTGCTGTAATCCCAAATAGGTAAAAACTCCAAGCTGTCTCCTAACAGCCAAGCACAGACAAATGGAAATATCCACTTTGCGAGCTGGCAAACAAATAGGCTGAACTCTGCTGGATCTGTTCCCTTAATTTATAAATTACATCATAATATTTGACATTAAAACAACACCACCACAATAAACTGTCGCTCTCTTATTCCTTTAGGCCATTTCCCTCACAAGTGATCTCAATATCTTTGTTTAAAGTCTAAGGGAAGGACTATCTTTCCTTGACCACCTGGAAAACATTGATACAATTAAAAAAATAGAATAAAACCCTCCACTTACTGTAATAAAACAGCCAAAAAATGGCCTCATTAGATAAATATGCACATTTTACACTTGGAACACCGTTAGGATAAGCATGAATTGGGCAGAGAAAGCTCACTCTGCACAGCTCCTACATTTCACCAGAGTTCCCTTTCCTGAAAGGTTAGAAATGGTGTAAATTCATCCTGTCTGCCCTGTGTCTATCAATATCAATACACTTCATGAAACAAAGCACTTGGAATAGACCAGAAAGAATGTACTCATGAAGGCAGCTCATTGTGATAACCCAGGGGGCACAGTTTAATCCAGTTTAAAATATGCATTTTCTAATTATATATAGTCATCCATAGAAAATACACAAAATATAAAAATAAAGATATGTGTTTATTATTCTGTACCTGTATTTGTGACTACTCTTATTTGGGTCTCCTTCCTTTGCCCTAACCAAACAGTTTATTTCAAAATGTTGGTTTGGCTTTTTTTAACATATAGTGATTTGTTCCTCACAGCAAAATTATTCCATATACTTTTTTGTAAAAAGTAAGTAATTCAAGTTGCAATATGAAAGGAGAAAAATATAAAATGCATATTAAAATTAATAACACACTAAAAAAAGAATATGAAATACTTTTATGACCCCACACAGAGCTGCCTCACACTCATTTCATCCTGCCTATGTTTTGGTAAATTTCTATATATTTACAGTTATAGACAATGACTACTGGAATATTCATAAAACACATTTAATGATCTACAGATGGCAAGACTAAACCAACAATTTAAATCATTTAAGTGCCTTGCATCAGTAAAATGGGATTTAAATTTGCCATAAAATATTTTAAAGCTCAGATTAATAGTTTTTACTGCTGTAAACAAGTTTCTAAATCTATCTACCATTTTATTGGCAAAGGCTTCATAACAATTTTATAGTAAAACATCTACATGTTGTGTTGAAGAAATACTTTTACAGTAAAAAGGAAATATGGGACAGCTGATTTAGGAAAAAAGCAGAAACTATCAAAGAAATTGTTTTAATCTTGTACAGATAGGAAATTTTACATTGCCAGTATTATCATAAAACACTGTTCTCTTGCCAGCATAAAATGAATGCTTAAGATTATGTATTTCCCTGGAATTTACCAGTAAATTTGCCTGGAATTGCCATAAACATTTCCAGGATCTGCTACTTCATAGATGGTAATAAAAGCAGATGTATGTTTATCAGCAGAATGTATATATAATCTTTATTTTTTATCTTATTTTTTACATTTCTAGGCCTTATTGGATTGTTATGGAGGCATAGAACTAGAATAAATAACAAAATGCCCATGCAATTGCTAAGAATATTATTTTTCTTGAAAGTACTATTTTATCAGACAGAATGTGAAAGAGGAACATCACAGGTAATTTCCAAACACATTCATAGTCATTAATTTAGTTCCACATTTCCACCCTGAGTATTGTATAAACATTTTGACAGAGGAGAAATGTAAAAATTGAGAAAAGAAGAAAATTAATCTCTTTCCACAAACATTTCTTATATCAAGGCTGCCAGTCACCAAATTAGAGCCACTTTTGTGCAATATGTCATGCTATTATTCCCTTAGAACTTTCAATTACCCACTTCTCATCCAGTGCAGGTTATTTAAAATAATCTCACAAGAGTTAAAATTAAATGAAATGGAATGTAAATATTAGATAACATTTATTCTCTGTGGAAATTGAAAAAACAATTGACTGCTAACACTCAATCCTACATTAACAGCCTAAGTCTATGCAAAGGTTTAATACTCTGTAAACCAGACTCTGTTTCAAAAGATGCTCACCATCATCAATTGATCATTTGTGATAATATAACTGTAGGCTGACATATTTTATGACAAAGACTTTCTCATAATTTCTTTTGCTATTTCTTTCTTTGAGCAATTGGACCTTACTTATTTAAGTCCATAATATGCAATTTTACTTTTATTAATGTATGCACTGCACTGAACTTCCAACTAATCCTCTTTAGAGTTCAACAAAATAATTTGCAGGAAGATGGACACATTCTGCAATTACTGCACATAACAACTCTCTGTGTTCCACCTTCAGCAATAATTCTATTCTCACCATCAGCAGGTGTCAATAAAAGCAGTACCTGGCCAAAGTGTCTAAAACACTGACAGCAATTCTTATCCTTTAAAAGAACTGTTTTCAATTAAAAATCCAGTTTTATTAATGAGATGGCATTCATTCCACATTGTTTGAAGCTTTTTCAATCCATAGACCTTTACGTGAAAGCATTTGTATTTGCTTCCAAGTTTGCCAGGCTGTGGCCATACAAGCAAATATTCAAGTTGAGTAAGCAGCAAGAAAGTATTTTTTAATGACCTGGTGAGATAATGCAGCAGAAAGTCTTCCCTTTGTAGGTCCTTGCCCAAATCATGGTTCTTCTAGATGGACAAGTAACAAATGCCTTCCTTCTCTGTGCTGCACCTGGCAAGCACAAGTGTTGCTCACTCAAGGACTGAACTTGGAATGTGGCAATATTGTTGAAATAATAGATCTTGGACTTCTCTCTTCCATAGGCTCAAAATGATCAGAGCTTTCAGCATCCCCATCAGTGGTTGTCTGTCAGTAGTAGGAGTTAATCTCCCACTGTATTCTCATTATTTACTCATTTCTGTCTCTTGGAACAAAAGAGGCTCAAGTGAGCTGAGCAGCAGCACCTGATGACAGAGTTTCAGGGCCATGCTGAACTGAGATCAGCCCAGTTTGATCAAACTACTTCTAGAAATCAGTTCTGGCTCTTGAACCACTTGATGCAAAGTGTCCCCAAGTCACACCTCACCACCCTTTTCTACCAACACACACACTCCCAACCCAGACATGCACATCCACCCTCAGCTGGGCCTTTCTGTGATCATTCACACACAGAACTCCTGACCTCCTCTGTCCTTCAGGCTTCCTATTCACTCCTAAGTCAGTGGAGAGGATCTTTGTGAAGTGAACCATCTCCCTCACTGTACAAGCTTATTTTTGGTTTATTTTTTTTCTCTCTCTGAGATGTGAATGAATTCCCAAGATAACCCTCTCCTTTCCACATAGGGTTATGAGTCTAGAGAACCACAGCATTTCTATTCTCTTGATGCTGTATTTTCCCATTTTACTTGGCACATTTTTCCTTACAAAATATCAGCTTTCAAAAAGGCACCAACTGTTCATCAGCATTGAAGTCTATCAGACCACAGCAAATTGAACTGCTGGAAATTTAAGACTAAACACCTTAAGCAAATGATATATTTGTAAAATTTGCTTAGCAAGGAATCCATTGTTATTACTACTGCTGTACAGGAAATTAAATAGAAGGAAAAAAAATTGCATAGGACATTTAATATCAGAAGCTAATAGGGCAGTGAGTTTCAGTTTTAAATTTACATATAAATTTACATAGAAAAATCACACTGAATTGAATTTCTTTTAGCCGAAATGTGCATTAGTGCCTAAGTAATAATGCCCTGAAACAGAGTACAGCAATGTTTAGTTCATAAATTATTACAATAATTCTAAGCTTCCTGACTAAAAATTACTACACTGTTAACCTCTTAATGTGGCCTACATATTGTACCAAGCAAACAAACTGGGAAAACAACATTTTGCTAGAAAGGATTACAAAAAAAATAATTCTGAAGTGGAAGGAAAGGAAAAGACTGAAAAAGCATTACATTTAATGACTGAACTTACGTCCTCAGCTCCACCAAAAGATACCAAAACCCACACCAAACTTATATTACAATAATTTATACACATATAGGAAAATCAATGAACTAAACAATATGCACATATTTGGATTTCCATATAAAGATAAATAGAAAAAGTTGTATCAAAGATGAGTAGAATGCTAAGCAAAGTGCTATTTTAAGATAATTATAAGAAGCATACCTGACACGGAGATACAGATTGACTAAAAGTAAAAATTAATATCCCAAATTCCCACAACTGAGAAAGTAATAACTATGCTCACATCTTAATGAATACTTTTTTGAATTTGAAATCAAGGGAACCTCTGCATCCATGGAGACTGAAGCTCAATAACTCTACATACTCCTGAGATTACAGGCAGATTTCCTTCCCAGATCCAGCAGTGTTAGAAGAAGAAATTACCAATTACAGCTACTTGTTGCCAACGTCTGTACTGAAGATTGGCACTTCCAGTGATCAGCTCAGTTGCCTAAATCATCTCATGCAGTAACCTGGTTTATCAAAGCTCAGTTGGGTTTGACAGCCCTACTAAATAATTGTAGAAGTCAATCTTTTCCATTAACAGAAACAATGGGGAAGGAGATCATAGAAACATAGAATTGTTTGAGTTGGAAGAGACCTTGAAG